GCAAACCAACCACGAATCATGACAAGTTTTGCACAAACAGTTTTTGAAGGACATTAAAAAGATTTAAAAAAAAATCATCCAGGCTTTTAAGTTTGTTTTGATAGTCAGATTCAAAATGTCCTATCTTTAATGCTCTTTTTACTTTTACCACTTTTTTATTTTTTTTCCAGAATGAAAGTAACTTATATAGTTCAAAGAACCCTGAATTTTGTCATGAAATATAAGGTTGAATGTTGTTTTTATAAAATGCATTAAACATTTTGTGAAAATTATCAATAATCTTTCAGATTATTATTTATAAATAAATGAAAAAAATCAGTGGTACTGGAACAGAGCCTTGGGAAAACCCTATTTTAAGTCAAAACAAGCTTGTAGGATGTGGTTTATACACGCACTCTGTTTGAAGATAGGTATTCCTATCTAGTACTTTGCCCAATCTGTAGTTACCGTAATAAGATTTTTTTTTGTTTATTTAGTATGAAAGACAAAGAAATCTTATTATATCCCTCTTTTTCAGGAGGTGTTAAAATCTTTTCAATTTCACAATAGAAACCTGAAACTCTAAATTTCAGTCAATCATCTTTCGCAAAAAAGATGGCCGATATATTGAGTCAGAGCTGCTGAAAACACTTACATTTCTAGGAGTGTCGGTCATGTTAGTCATGGTATCGATTCAGGCTGACAGGATACAGATATTCATGCATTTTCTTAAATCAACATGAATGAAGTCTGACAAAAATTGGACATAAAAGGATGTGCTTCAGGGAGAGATCATCTGATTAGAGCTGACCTGTTTTACTCATCAGGTCAACAGTCAAAACTCTGCTGTCTACTTACTCTGTATTCACTAATATCAAAGCAACCTGACTTGATTTTTTTTTTTTTATCTTTTAGAGGACTGGATGGAAGGTGAGGAGACTTTTTTAATGCTCTACATTGTTGGGACCCCTCCTGTTTTCCTTAAAACTTTCAACTGAAAAGAGAAGCAAGAAGGTGTCTGGCCTAAAAATCAGCTGTCAGATATTAATGGAAAGTCCAGCAAATAGCCAGGACCGATCAAGAAAACTGATCAACCACTGTTTTAATTGTTGGAGTAAATCACATTTTCTCTCTGTCCATCTAAAGGAATGAGAACAAACTAAGTCCCCAGTTTGCAGGCTGTAAGAAAATAACACATTTAGAGCTGGTTCTTTGCTGACTTCTCCAATATGTCGGTACAGCAATGGTTAATTGTTTAAGTTTAAGTTGATACTGTTGCTGTCATTTTGTGTTGAGGTAATTATATAGATAAAAAATAAAAATAATTAACTGTTTGTTGTCCTGCATTTGTTGACTTACTGTGGAATATAATTTCTCCCGATTCACACTTATAACCCAAACTCTGATAAAAAAAAAATAAAATAAAAAATAATGTGTTCATGTTGTCGCTGGTGGGAAAGAAACTTGCATCTTGACTTCAAATAATGTTAATTTTCTTGTGATAATCACACCTATTCACTAACTTTTGAATCTGGGATTTCAGATGGTCACATTTATCATGGGTTTGAGTCCAGGCCCGTTGACCTTTGCCCCATGTCTCTCCCTTTCTCTCTCTCTCTCTCAACCCCAGATCCTATCAGCGATGAAAGCCAATTGTGCTAAAAAAAAAAAAAAAGCATCACAAAGAGAATCTACCTTCGATCCATAAGTCACCTTCAGAACTGAGCAGCTGCTTTAATTTCTTGAAATATTACGTTTTTGAAGATTTATGGCCTATAGCAATGATATAACTACTTGCATAAGATGTTATCTATTACAAATGTATCATACATCTAATTTACTTTATCACAGTTCATATCATATTATATGTATATCTTATTTATATCATATTTCATATCATGCATATCATAACTTGCATATATTAGTAGAAACAAAAACTAATTCAATTTGAGGTAATAAAATACTGCACAGCAGTGAAATAAGTGCAATCTTTCTTTGAATCTGTCTCACAGCATCAAGTGCATCTAAAGAAACAGCTAAATGTTGATTAAAATATGTTCTAATCTGTAGCTCTCCCCAGTCTGCTCCGTTAGAGAGCCTGCAGTGAGGGTTGTCTCCACTAGGCGGCATCACTGAGCTGCTAATTGAGGGCTGCACTGAAGAGAAGATTCCATGAAAGAGGAAAATGAGGAAACCCCAGTGAGGTTTCTTCTCTGTTCTGGAAAGGAAGAAGTGAAGCAAGAGGAGTAGTTTAGAGCAGAGAAAATGATTCCTCTACATGACTGAGTTATGAAAGAAATCTATATGAAATTAGCTTTAAAGGAGGAATCACTCATCTGAGTGGAGGGGCTGTTACTGTAACTGGATATACCAAGCTCTGCTTCATCAGCAGCTTTAGAGGTGAGGAAGGCAAGACAGTGACTGGAAAAGGAAATAATTAGTCACAATGTTTATTTAATTTAGCATAATTTAAGCAGGAGGGGATCTCTGTGAAAATCATTCAAACAGATTTTACATATGATGAAGCTGAGAAGGATGTGAGAGATGTATGAAGTCACATAAACCACAAATATTAACTGTTCCTATTTATTGTAAGGTCAGCTTGGAAAAAAAAATCAGTTGTGCCACCAAGAACCAGGATGGCAGTTCTATGCATGAAAATTTAAACTGGTAGCTTTAATAAATGTATTATTATCTTTGTTGCTCACTCCTGTCCCCCCCGCAATGACCCCAGCTTCACAAAATATAGGCTAAAATCAGGAGAGTTACAGTGTTTTAAAGGTGCACTACACTATAAATATAGTTCTATGTAAATCAGCTGATTTATGTAACCTGACAAATGAGCTTAAGTTAATATTTAAAGAATATAAATCTAATGTATTTCCCTCAATGTTGCTGAGAATATCTTGTTTATCTCTAGCAGTATAGATAAATGTCACTAGAAGTCATTTCATGGGTTTCAGGCTTGGCGTACAACTCCTAAACCAACAGTGACCAGTTGGATTGGAGCTTTGTGCGGAGCACGGGCCCCAAGGTTTACAGGGCCTCAAAAATATTGCTTCACCAAATAAATGATTTATAACATAGAACGCAAAAAGTACACATCAGTATATTATATCAACATATATACTGGTGTTATGGAGGCTGTTAGGTCTTTATCAAAGTTGGTGTTGTCTTCATTAACCTGCTGATGGGGGATCTAAGGACAAGAAAAATGTATGCACCTTCTAAGAAACAAAGCTTACATGGATCAGGTATTATATAGGACATTTCAGTGCATCATTCACTTTTTTTATTTATTTATTATCATTTAAGGCACATTAAGCTTTATAGAGTTAATTTCATAAGTTTCCTAGTAAATAACAAACATGCAATGACTTAAAAAAATCTAATCTAACCCCCTTATGTATAAGAACACTCATTAAGCATCATCTCCATGACATCATTGTTTCTGGTGGTGGTTTTAGGCCTGGTATAACTTCTGCAATGTATTTTATAGTTAGGCCCGAGCAGCAAAGCGCTGCGAAGGCCTATTGTATTTCGAAAGTTTCTTCTTCTTCTTATTATTATTGCGGTTCTTTTGGCATTTTGAACGCATTTTAAGGGGACTTCGCATATTCAAAAACTCAGGAAAATGTGGCAGTAAATTGTCCCCCGCATGAAATAGACGGACTATAATGGAATCCAAAATGGCCGCCCCCAAATTACGCCACAGCGCCCCCTAACGTGAGTTGGGGGAAACTGTAAGTCACAGAGATTTGAAATTTGGCACACAGGTAGATCTCCTCAAATCATGAAAAAAAGTCTCTTGGAGGTATGCCCTAAAACCCACAGGAAGTCGGCCATTTTGGGTCAAAGTGCGATTTTGGGCCATTTTTCATTTTTATTGTATTCATGAAAAGTTCAGTTTTAATAGGTTTTTGGTAAAAAAAAGAAATCCATATTTCTATATAAATATGACCAAGACAGAAACGCGTTAAACTTAATCCGGACCATTTAGTCCTAATTAACATATTAAGGAAACCTGTGTGGGAGACAGTGGCGGTTCTCCAAGAAAGACACTCTGACCAAGTTCCTGCTGCTCCTAACCTCAATCAAACTGCATTTTAAATGATATTTTGAGCCTACTGAATGTTATTCAAATTGATGAAAAACAAACAAACAAAAAAAAAAGTTATTTATTAATTAATTTTTTGAAGACAGAAAGAAAACGTGAGTAACAAATACAGAGAAACTGGAAAAAGCACGCGCTCAGATCTGTGCGTAAAAGGCGCACTGCTAGAAACCAAACGAAACAAACTGTTTTTTCCATCAATTGTGCTGCTTGTTTCAGCCTGCAGGTGACTAGCTCCAGAGGACCAGCAGGATGGGGAGAGCGCACGTCCTGCATGGAGTCAGGACTGCCACTGCAGCACTGGATCTCGCTCTCTTCCTCTCCTTCCACCTCAGCCGCTGGCGCTGCGCCAGCTGCAGCACGCTCCGAGCCTCCTCTCTTCTTACGCCGCTTGCCGCTCACTTTACAGCACCCCCCACCCCCACCCCCTCTCAGTGAGGGGAGGGGAGGGGGTTCTCCGGGAGCTGAGAGAGGTGGAGCAGAGGTGGAGGAGGGATGATGGGAGGGAAGTCTGGGGCTAGAGGGGGGCGACGGGAGCCCTTGGCCGCCTATTCGCCTTCCAGTTGCCTCCACACTATATAAACACTCATTGGTGCCTCTGGCTGGACGCACACACTCTTTGCACACACACACACACACGCGCATTGAGGGTGACTTGTATATGCAGCCAACAGAGAGAGAGAGAGAGAAGCGCTCCGAGAGACAGAAAGGTGCACAGAAAGGAGAGTGGACGGCAGAAGCAGAAAGAGCGCAGCAGCAGCAGCAAGACGGAGCATCTCTTGTGCATCACTGCAGCTTCACGGATCTTAAAACATCTCCAACTCCTCACAGAGGCTCGTAAACATTTTTGAAAAAAACATATTTTTAAGTTTTGGACCTGAATAACGCGATTTCTGGAAGAGTTTCTCCTTTAAAAGCAACTTTTTTCCATCCATTCCAGAAGTTTTTATAAAAGTTGAAACTTTTATTGACTCTAGGTTCGGCTTTACTTTTTTTCCCCCACGTGTCCTGGCCATTTTGCAATTATTTCCCTTCAGATTTCTAGACATTTTATTCTTTATAACTCTTATTTTTGAATTCAATAACTCCCATAAAAGACTAAAAATGAACTTTCAAACACCAGGAGCGTCCCCAGTCAGGTGTGATTCTAGTCTCAGAAGTTTAAATCATTAAATCAAACTAACTTTTGGTGGTTTAATTTGATTTTCCTGAAAGTTTGAGATAAAAGCGTCACCTGTTGCATCTCATCACCTCTACTTTAGGCGAATTGCGCTCTGGAGACGCTAAAACGCCTCTTAAAGATTATTCTCAGAACATAATCCATATCATATCTTTACAGTTCATTCATTCTCAGAGCAAAATCCTACCGCTTTTAACTTCCAGGAGAGTTTGGTGTGCGTAAAAAGGCGCTGCGTTGTTTTTACGCACAAAAAAAATCACCACCCAAATCCACAATTTGTGTCCCAGACTTTTTAAAGCTCTCTTTAATCCTCCCGCCCGTCATCCTCGTCATGCTGTTCGACAGCTTCGACCTGATCTCGGCTCTGGCCACACTGGCCGCCTGCCTGGTGTCCATGGCGCTGCTGGTCGCCGTCTCCCAGCAGCTCTGGCAGCTCCGGTGGACGGCCACCCGGGACAAGAACTGCAAGCTGCCAATGCCCAAGGGCTCCATGGGCTTCCCCTTCATCGGTGAGACCTGCCACTGGTTGGTACAGGTAAGAGGCATCATAAATTATTGATGGTTCTAGTGTCCCTATGGAGACAATTCCAATTTAATTGTTGAAATGCTCCTTATATATTATCAAATACACTTTGTATGCATTTAATTGTTGTTTCTACACTTTCCATTTGGCCACATGTTGGGAAGTTATCAAGTCACTGATGAGTTAGTCTCCCGCAGGACAATCACAATATCTCAGTATTGATTTTTTTGCAAATATTTCTTCCCCTTTTCAACTTTTCACTCTTGCAAATCAAAGATCTGTCTCTGTGATAAAATGTAAATTTGCTCTGATCAGCACCAGAGAAGTTAAAAGCAAGCATATCTGATGTGATCTATCTGAGTTGGAGTCTATCCCCATCCTGCGCAGAGTTTCCCCAGACTTTTTGTCTCACAAACTTGATGGGTTTATATATTTATTGCTCCACTGGTGGAGGAATCAGGTCACTTTCTTTACTTCTTTATCTCAGAGCGGCGCGCGTCAGGGGGTCGAGCTGGAGTCAGCCTGATAAACGCATCGATCACATCAGATATGAAGGGAATCGGCTGCAATGGCAGGAATGTGATTGTTTATATGGAGATGGGGAGCAGAGAAGAGGTTTAAACTGGATGGAAAGTCATTTCCATGCTTCGTGTTCACAGCTTGTTGCCTGCTCCAAAAAATCCCAAATGAGACATCTGATGCTCCGGGACCTTTAAACAGCCTGCAGCATCTCCTCACCCACCCCAACTTAAAACCCACTCAAATTCACCTCCGCACCGCTCAGAGTAAACCAGAAGGAGAAATAAGGATAAAAGAGATATACAAGTTTGAGTAGAAGAATTGCATTAATAGAAATCACAGATAATGGTGTTGGAGGGGAGGAACATGAGGAGCGAAGTTCATCAGGACGCGCGGAGGCACGTCGGCAGCGCGCGGAGGTTGAACTCGCAGTGCTCCTGTCGGTGAAACATCTGACATAGAGAGGGGGAGAGAGGGAGAGAGGGAGAGAGAGAGAGGGAGAGAGAGAGACGCGTTCCCGGAATGCAGTCGAGGACCATGGCCAAGTTTATGAAGAGGGGAGCAGAACGGAGGGGGCTTCTCTGTCAGTCTGATGGAGGAGGCTGAGGCTGTCTGCACTTATGAGCTCCAAATGTCTCCGAAAGCGCAGAAAAGTGTGGAAAAGTCCAGATTGTTGGCGGCGGCGCTGGTTCTCCTAAAGAGGCTGGGTCTGCAGGAGACTTTAGTGAAATTAGAGATCAGCACCGATCTGCCTTTTCCTGCACGCTGCCCATTTTTCTATGTGGTGTAACCTGCCTACTCAGTTTTTATTATTATTTTTGACATATAGAAATTGTGATTTCTTTGATTAAATTTGTACATTTAGAATTCAGACCGATTAAAAAAACAAAAAAACAAAAACAAAACATGTTTCATACTTCTAGAAAAAAAGGGTCAGATTTTATTTCTGCATCTGATCTGTTCATCACTGGTTAGAGCTGATCAAGAAAAAGTTGCTCAGCTGAAAATTTCAATTTAGTTGGATTCAAGACAGAATGTGAAACCAATGAGGACACTGCTGTCCTGAAACAACTCTAATGTTCAATTCATTGTAGTAGGTCTGGATCTTACTTTACCATCGTCTTACCCTTTCCACTAAGCAATTTACACAAAAACTGACTGATAGATGTTGGAGGTGATGGGACATCAAATATCTTCCTACCTGATTCCGATTTGGGGAACAGATCATGTGCAAAGTTAGGTCAAAGAAATGAAAATACAGATGTGTTAAGTTAAAGCTACTGATTTTTACTCTGCTTATTAATATGCTTTTCAGATTGAAGACACCTTAGTTCAGTTCTCTACTTGTTGTTTGACACAGGAGCACAATAGCTGCCGGACCGCCTCCAACCCCCATTTTCTGTAGAATAATCATTACTTTCTGAGTAAATCCGTCTGAAATTGGAGTTATTTAAAAAGGGTAGATGACAACTTTCTCTAGCCTTTAACTTAAACCTGTTGTAACAACTAAACTGGAGTTGTGCTAAGTGAAGTTTCCTCAAGAATTAACTACTACAGGCTAATGGACTTTAAGCAGAAATTCATAATTAAACCAAAAAACAGACCTAAATAGGAGAAAACTCGAGTTTGGCACAGTTTTGCTTTACCATGATCCAAATGGCCAAATACAAAACTCATACAACACAACCCAACCAACCATTAACTAACCAATGACCCTTGGGAAATTAGTGGGTCATTTATTTGAATCTTGAACTGTCTCTTTAACATCTGGGTCCCCAGTTATAGCTACCAGTAATCGCAGCACTGATGCTCTTTAACATCTGGGGACCCAGATGTTAAAGAGCATCAGTGCTGCGATTACTGGTAGCTATAGCACGAACTGACAGAACTGACAAACACTCCTAGGCTTCAAAATGCTCTTGGAAAAACAAAGTGAAAGTCCAGTTTTCTGCAGTTCAACCTGAATCTAAGGCTGTTTTGTGGTTGTCATAACTCTGACAATTGAGATTTTGTACAGGCATCTCACGATTCAACATTTTTTCCTCTTAGACACCATTTAGACATCGTTTTTTTTTAGGCTTAATCTGGTCGGTCTGTCATAGTCTCGATTTAGTCCAAAAATCCTTGTTGAAAATTGGGCTGTGTTTGGTCGGTCTGAATTTGTCCCACTTTGGTCCAGTAATAGATGTGGAAAAGATGTCGCAAACCCAGTTTTCAACATCTTTTCGACGATCTGAAAATTAAAGCCTTTCACCTTTCACTTTTCAATCACAATGTCTCTTAAAGCAATTTTTGCTTGGTGGGTATGTATACCTAAATCCATGTGAAAGACAGGTGAGTTTTATCATATTACTTGCATTAGACGAAGAAAGATTAAGATTGGTCAAGAATGTTACTGATTGATTGTTTGTGGTGATGAAATGTCAGACAGATTTAGGGAGGAGTTTTACATACAAGTCAAAATGTCTGACTCATTAAAGCCTGTTACCATGTTCATGAAGTAAGGAACTACCTGGTGGATTATAATTTTTTGAGTTCTTAAGATTTAGAGCACATTTGCAGCTTTTTGCTCATTGTAAATTCTAGATTCTAGAACTTACTAAACTCTAGCTTCTAGAATCTAACTAGTTCCAGATAATTTTCAATTGCTGTTCCCTTCTTGGACACAACAGGCTTTGCTATGGAGCAAACTAACCAGGCCTGATAAGTCAGGCAAGTACATGCATTAATGGCTTTTTACAAATCCGACAGCTGCGTCCTTCAAAGGCCAGCTTTTTCGGCCTACTGCGTCATTACTTGGTGCTGTGGCTTCTTCGGATTCGAAGACTCCTTTGTATGCGGCCAACAGACGAAGCCTTCGTTTTTCTGGGTTGGTAGGAAAGATCCCCTGTATCGTTCATTGCGAGTCCAAGCAAGCTGGTTGCTCCGTTTTCAGAGGAAAAAGGGAAATAGCGGCCAACAGTGGTGAATATTGTAAGTGCAGTTTATTATAATACAAGTATGTGAATAATCTCATTTTGAATTAAGGAAAATAGTTAATTTAGAGGGTTATTGAGTCAAACACAATAATTGGTAATGTTTGTAGTTTGTAGTATACAGAACAGCAGTAAGAAGTTCGGCATCCATTCTTTGCCTTCTTTGTGAGTCAACTGTAACAGTTGCTTGGCAACAGAACGTACGCTGAGTGAGGTGACAGTCGGAGAAGAGTGGATCTTTTTGAATCCATAGCTGAGCTCTTATTTTCATGGACTTTGATGGACCCAGTCCAGGTAGGCCGGGTTCAGCCGCATCGACCGAAATTGAACCCAGCCTTGGTGACCTGTGAAATATGGATCCTTGGTTTCGTTTGCAGAACTTGACTTTCGCAAACAGCTAACAAACACATTTCAATAAATTTGACTGAACTACAAAGGTACTTAAAAACTTAAAAAAAATTATAATAAAAGGAGCTTTCTAGAAGTTTCATCTACTGACCCCTACTGTTTTTAAGAGGAAGTGCAGTTATCCAAATGTGTTTTTTTTTTTTAATAACTTCACCACCCGTGTTCTGACTGTATACTCATTTCTACAGCGTTGTTTCACTACTGGCACAACAGACCCTATTGCCTCACATTAGGCGTTTTCCTTATATCCATAAATATGCAAATGTTAAAATTTACAAACGAATATTAAGTATCTTATTTAGATATAGTTTGGCTATGCTTGAGTTGCTATATGCGGTTGCAATTGCTAAGTTTGGCCACATGGTGGCAGCAGACAGAATTTTTCAAATAACTCTCGAATATTTTCGCTTATATGTTATCAAGCAACATTTTATTTGCCCTAAACCGTTTTTTTTTTTTTCGGTTCAGGTTGGTCTTAAGCAAGACCTGGCTAGTACACCACACATACTGAGTGTTCCAGGAGGTATTTACTAGCTGTAACTGCTTGGTTTTTGTTGCTCTTGTCTGCCAAAAACAGCACTGTGGGTGAGTTAACAGAGAACCAAAATACTTCATTTGTGCAATAGGGAGCAAAACATTGAGGTAAAACTCACTATGAAGAATTACAGCAGGGTGTTTGTTTACATAAGTGAACAAGAGGCATCTCTGTAGAAGCACGTCGTGAGGCAACAGTAAAGCTTTTATTTCTTCTTTTTTCAATACAAATCGACTGGTTTGAGATTATTTTCTTTTCTCGATTCCTATCCTCTCTTTGTTCTTCTGCTCTCTCAGCTGACGTCCCCTGGCACCTCATTCAGAACTCCAACATAAACACTTAGTGTCTAAATGTGTGTGCAAAGTGTATACACACAGTATATTTTTACCTCAACACACACACAGCAACATATTTCTGTGGCCGATCCATTTTAAAGCAATCTACAGTTAGAAATAGTGATGTGGCCGCTTTGCCAAGGATCTGTCTGCTCTCATTAGGAGCCGGAGCTTTCTGAATGGACGGTGCCAAGCAAGGAGAGCTACTGAGGGAGGACACACACAGTGCAGAGAATCACT